TTGCCATCCTTGTTTTTTCTGTAAAGTATGTTCTCTCATCAACCTCAGTGTAAAAGATTATGTGTGAAGAACTGAGGAATCATTGAAGTAATGACACCTTTGGGGTAAGTTTCAGTATGGAAAACTAAAGACATAATCATCTCTCTCTGTTGCATGGGTGAGATGACCATGGAGAATGGTAGTTTGGTGATTAGGGACCACCTTGCATTCCATGGCATTGGTAATAGATATTCCTAAGGGTTAGAAGTAAAAACTATGGGGGCTAGGCCTTCTGCTCTTGTAACCACACAGGGTCCCACAAGTTTGTGTCTTTTTCATTGAATTGAGAAACACTAGAAACTACTGAAGGTTTTTAAAATAGAGGAGCAACATCATCGATCCAATTTGTGCTTTAGAAATTTGATTCTTGACTGTAAGCTAGATAACAGATAAGAATGACATGAAGTGGGTATGTTTGAGAGGTATTTGGAAGGTAGATCCATATGACTTGGCAATAAATTGAATTTGGGGAAAGGGGGAGAATAAGTAATCTAGAAGAGATGACTCCCTAGTTTCTGGCCTGGGTGTTTGAAGGGATAGTACCATAATGATGTGGGAGATAGCATAAAGAAAAGGCAAGATTGGATCAGTTTTGGCTGTGAAGACCCAGAAACCTGTGGGACATCATGGAGATGGCCAGTAGAGTGACCAGCAAACTCATGGGTCTGTAGTTGGGAAGAATGGGCTAGAGCTGCAGTGCTGAGTTCATTTCACTCCGTTTGTACCTACCCGGTATTTTTTGTGTGGCCACTTTTTAGATCCTTCCTTCTTTATAGAGATTCTTCACTGATAGTATATTTGTATAGTAATTTTCTGAAAATCGTAATCTTCATTAAGGCTATGCACTCATTCAGTTCAAATTGTTCTATCTATTGGATTGTCAGAAAAGTCATGACATGTTTTTCTATGCAAAAATGTGTCCTGACTTTTCCGACAACCCAATACATGTAAAGAATCGCCTTGACAGGATTCTGGTTTCATGTAATTATGTCTATAATTAAAAAACAAAAAAACAAAAAAAAATCGAATAAACACATTAAGCTACCCTAGATATTTAAAAGCATTCTGCTTTATAATTAATGATAGTGTCCTTGACAAATAGAGGTTTTGTAAATATCTCATGAGTAGTAATCGGCAATGTCTGCTAATTTACTTTAACTAGAGAAAATATGGTCTTAGGAATTGATTTTGCTGTTACGCTCTGCAGCCATGTAATGACTTTTCCCAGTGCATGAATAATTAAAGAGAGCAATCCATACATTTCTAAACTTGTTAATATTTTTGAAACCAAACCAGATTCTAGACATGACATTTTCCTGTTGCTGTCTGGAATTTCCAGGCCTAGAGTCTAGGCTCATTCTGTTCCATTATTTACTTTGGCTCCCATACTTGGCTTCTTCTTTCAACTTGTTTGCTTTCAGTGTTTACGAAAGTGGATTCCCACAACCAAAGAAAGACTTGGGTAATGAGTCAGTCTGGAAGTGCTATTTTTGTTGTCATGGACTAGGGTCAGTTCACCGTAATTAGTAGTATTTTGTGAAAGCAACATAGAACACCTATGGAGTGCCCGATACTTGGCACACATGCATACACATAGACAACTCTTTGCCATATTTACTATGACTCTATTTCTTTTATTTTTAAAAATAATTATTTAATTTTATTTAT